GGTGCTATGGCTCAAGTGGTAGAATACTAGCTTGAACAAAAGGAAGCTTGGGGACAGTGCCCAGGCCCTAAGTTCAAGTCCCAGGACTGGCAAAAAAAAAAAAAAATTAATATATATATATATATATAGCTGAAGTACTACTATGGGAAGTACAGGGCACCGAAATTGACCTCAAGTCCTCATTTCTGGCAAGAAATGAATTCAGGCAAGCCAACATAAGTAAAGGTAATAGGAAAGATTCACTGCCCTTCTTTCCTTATTCTCTTGTTCTTCTTATTCCTCATTCTTCTGTTGGCTCCAGCCAGCTTATCCTGCCGTATGCAAGTGCTGTAGATCAAAATACCCTGATTGACTGTTTTCCTGATAACTTGACCACTACAACACCAGCTGAGCAAGCAAACAAACCAAGAAAACTTGAGGCCCTGAGTTACAAGCCCCCAAACCAACAATGAGCAAAAAGGGTTGGAGATGTGGATCCAACAGGAAAGCACCTACCTAATGAGCATGAAGCCCTGAGCTCAAATCTTAGTACCACAAACAAACAAAAAAGTTCAGTGGCTATTATCAGAGCAGTGTAAAAGAAAGACAAAAGGAGCATGTACACATAGAATAAACAGACTGCTATGCTTATTGGGATCATAGTATTGAAGTACCGGTCTGAATAAACAAACCACTAGCTTTGAATTTCTTGCCATCTAAGCCTTTTATTAAACATAAAGAAAGGCCTCTCTAACAAGAAGTAAAATTACCTGCAAAGGTCATACATGAGACTCTTATCTCCAGTAAGTCAGCAAACAGCTGAAACTGGAGGTATAGTTCAAATGGTAGAGCACCAGCTATGAGCAAGCAAAAAAGCCAAATGAGAGTTTGAGGCTCTGAGTTCAAACCTCAGTACTAGCACAAGAAAAATAGTCTTCTCATCCAATGTGACAGCACAAAACTAATGTCAGCACTCTGGAGGCACAGCAGAAGGAAGTCTTAAGTCTGTCAGTGTTCTGGACATTGGACTGATTGTTTCTAGGAAGTAACAGTTGTCAGCTGGTAAAGAAAACTTGTTCCTTTTTTAGGAGTGTGTTTTGTTGCTTTTTTTGCTAGTACCTGGGCTTGAACTTGGGGCCTTGCACTCTCACTTGGTGGTTGCACTTGCTCACAACTGGTACTCAACTACTTGAGCCTTTCCTCTAAAGCCTCTTCTCCAGTTGCAGCATTTTGCTGATGGCTTAGAAAGTTGTGCTAATTTTTCTGCCCAGGCTGACTTTAAACCTCATTCCTCAGATCTTAGCCTCCTAAGCAGCTAGAATTACAAACCTGAGCTACTTGCTTGCAGCGTCTCCATATTTTCATGTAAGTGCCCATTCTCAGTTGTGACTGTGTTTTTCTCCATCGCCCATCATGCTCTCTCTCTCTCTCTTGCAGCTTTTCACAGGCCTAGAAATCTGTTGCTATGGGCCCTTTACCAACATGGCCATAGGTAAGTGCCTGGAAGAACTGCAAAGTTCCAGCACCAGCCTCTCTTAACATAGTGGTGATGTAGTCAGGGTCACCCTATGGAGGTCCCTGAGATTGCTGAGACATTGTAGAGCCTATTCTATTAATCGACCACCCTCCAAACCACTTGACACCTAAACATCATCCTATGACCAAAAACAAAAAACTAGAGTCAGGCACCAGTGGCTCACACCTGTAATCCTAGCTGAAAGGATCCTTCAAGACCCTCCCAGGGAACCACACAGAGGCAAGCAGGCACAGAAGAAACATTATTGTAAGGTTTATTAGAGGGTCCATATCTCTCCTGGAGAGGGAGCACATGGTGTCTGTCCCCATCCAAGGCATGGTCAGTCTCTGGGAAGTGAGGTAAAATGCATAAACAACAGGTGGCCCTGGGTGGAGAGGGATTGGCCAGCTGTAGGGTGGGAACTCTAGAGCAAGGAGTCTGGGTGGAGCTGAGGACCAAAGGTGGCGATAATATAACACTAGCTACTTAGGAGGCTGAAATCTGAGGATCACCAGTCAAAGCTAGCTTTAGCAGGAACATCAATGAGATTCTTAGCTCCAATTAACCACCAAAAAAACAGAAGTGGTGTTGTGATTCAGATGGCAGAGTACGGGCTGGGAAGGTGACTCAGTGGTAGAGCACTTGCCTTGCATGCCTGAGGCCCTGGGTTCGATTCCTCAGCACCACATAAGCAAAAAGAAAAAAGCCG